GCTGGGGGGACGGGGTCTCGCTGGGACGCTGCTGTTGCTGCCTCTGGCCACCACCGACCCCTCCACGCTGCACCGCTCCACCGCGTCCGCCACCAGCTCCACCGCCGCCACCACTACCACCACCACCCCCGCCACCCCCACTACCGCCGCCGCCACCACCCCCGCCTCCACCACTGCCCCCCCCCCCCCCCACCAGCACCACTCCCACCACCGCCACCACCCCCGCCTCCTCCACCCCCTCCACTACTGCCGCCCCCGCCTCCACCTCCGCCACCCTTGCCCCCCTTGCCCTTGCCGCCCTTGCGCCTCCAACTAGGAGCAGACGCAGCCCCGACCTCCTCAGCACCGAGGTAGTCGACAGCAACAGCAGATGCAATGGAGGGGAGAAGGGGGACGGGGGAACACCCCTCAAAGAAGGTAGTGCGAGGGTCGCCACGAGAGGCCCCTACAGCTACAATACTCTTCTCAGCTGCAAGGAGTTCCTTCTCGAGCAGGTCGACAGTGAGGTCAGTGGGGGAGAGGGCGAGAAATTGGTCCCTGGCAGCGCGAAGAGAGTCAGGGAGGCGAGTGACTAGGTGGTAGAGTGTGAGGTACATCGGGGGAGGGTTCTTGGCGAGGAAATCGGGAGGAAGCGCGGCACGGTAGCGGAGATCACTAGTACGGAGGTGAGTGATGAGGTCAGCTACAGTGGCAAAGGCGGACAGATCGGGGAAGAGATAGGGCAGTGAGAGACGGCCTATCGCAGCAGTAGCAGGGGAGGAGTAGCGCGCAACTACAGCATCGTACAGCTCCTTAGCGGTCTTATGCTGGCCGAAGTGCTCGCGCTCATCTAACGGCAGGTGGCTGCGAACGGCTAGGCGAGCATGAGCGTCACGAGTCTGCCACTGTGAGCGAGCAGTACTGTCAGCAGTAGCAGCAGGTGCGGGAGCAGTGCCGGACGTGTGATCATACAGTGAAACATCGTCCTTGGCAGTGATCTGGAGGAACAGGTGCAGGTCATCAAGCCAAACATCAAACTTAATCGGGCGGCCCTCAGCGTCAAAGGTGAGAACAGTAGGACTGGCCATAGTGGCAGTAGCAGCAGTAGAAACAGTAGTAGCTGTAGCAGTAGTAGCAGTAGCAGGAACAGAACAGCAAGTGCTGCAGGTGGGGCACAGTAGGGCGGCGCGGCTCGGTCAGGGCGGCGCGGCTCGGTTCGGGCGGCGCGGCTCGGTTCGGGCGGCGCGGCTCGGGCGGGGCGGCGCGGCGCGGCTCGGACTAGGCTACGCGGCACGGCGCGACGGTGGGCCTGCGCGTGGGCGGCTGTAGCGGGCGGGCCGCGGCTGTGCGTGGGCTGCAGTCGCGCGCGGGCGGCGGCCTACAAGGGCGACGCGGCGGCCTACGGGAGGGGCTGCGACGCTCTGGACGGCCAGGAGGGCCGGTCGACGGGCGGCTAGCGGGCTGCTCGTGGGCGGCGCTGGTCGTGCGGGTGGCTAACGGTCGGCGCGCGCGCAGAAAAGGCCGCGCGCGGGCTGCTAGCGGGCTACGCGCGCTAAAAAAAAGGCCGCGCACGGCACTAGCGAGCTGCGCACGAGCAGCAGGAGAAGGAGAGGCGCACGAGGGCGCACTAGTAGAGAGGCGCTCGAGGGCGCTAAGTCGATAGGGCGCTCGAGGGCGCTTCTAGCGGAACGGTGGGCCCTTAGGTAAGTGGTCCTAGGTTCCTAACCTAGGCTCGTAATACCATGTCAGAATGAGAGAAGTGGTTGAACTAGGAAGATTGGGGATACAAGTATGAAACCCTAGAGTATTGTACCCCCTAAAGGCTAACCCACTGTAGCCTACACAGCAGTAACATATATAATGTTTGACAAAATAGAAGCCGCAATCGGCTCGAAGCGCGCTCCAAGCCCTGCGCACCACGCATCCCACGTGCTGTACTGGGCGGTTTCGCAGAACGAACTCCAGGTGACGGCTGGACCCGTGGGCTCTTCCTCTTGCGACGGAGGCTCGTAGGCGCGTGGCGACGTCACAATGACTCGCCACCAGTCCATGGCGGGGCCCCTTAGCAGCGAAACAGCATATCGAATCTTCGTTGCGTCCGACTCGACGTAGTTTGCGTCGAAAAAGACGTTCATCGTGAAGACCCACGATTGAACCGTCGGACCTCCTCGTTGGCTCGGGTCGAAACAGGGCGGGCGCTGCGGTTTGAGCGGCATCGGCGCGATAATGTCGTTGTTGCCGATTGTTGCCGCAAATTCAACGTGACGACGGGCTTCGCGAGGCCCGCTCGTGCTTGGTACAGCCCTGTTCCTCCCCATGCCAGGCATTGACTGGGCGGCGCCATCACTGGCTGCACCTGAGCGCTGTCCAACGCTGTCGTGATGTGACGGTGTGCCGGACGAGATGACAATCGGCTCATCCGATTGCACAGGTGCATTTGCGGGTGCTTGTTATGGTGCTGGCGCATTCACCATTGATTGCTGGCGGGCGGAGTCACGTTCCGCCGTGAGTGTCGCGATTTCGAGCGCCGAATCTTCGAGTTGGCGCACGAGACGGTCGAGCTGCTCCTGCGTCAATGTCGCAAGATTAATTTCGGCCATGGCGGGGGTGTCGAGCAAGCTCAGCGAGAGCCTCGGTCGTGGCCGTGCGTGCTTACGAGAGAGCATTTCGAGCGGCGGTGCTTGTTCGCTGAGAGACGTCTACACCTCCCAAAAATTGAGATAGTGGGGAAGCGAAGGTGTGGGTGCGGTCCGAGAAGAGATCGTAGTCTCTGAATACCAAGTGTTACGAGTGCAATTGAATGAGCGAGTGAGAATTGCACCATCGAGGCAATCAATACAGTTTGAGCGAAGGACATGAGCGAAGTTATATAGCGAAGCTAGCGTGGTAACGGTAATGTGGGAAATTGGGGTGCGCTACGGGCCTAGCGCCGAGGTTTGGACAATTGTCGAGGCGGAGGTCCGGAGCGCGGGTTACCAACCGAACCGTTAGGTTGGGTCCAGGGCTAATTTTATCAGGCCAGGGTTTACGTTTAAGGTACACTGACGGCCCAGGGTTGCCGATGTTCATAACGAGTTTTACCCTGAATCGAGTACATACCCCCCCCAAGCCCCCCCCACGCCCCCCCCCCCCCCCCCCCCGCCCTACCCCACCCCCCCTTTCCTGTAACCCGAGGTTCTCGCGTGCCAACTGTCGAAACTGAAATTTGGCATAAGGCAATATCTGAGCTGGCACGAGGGGGGCCTCCATTGGCCAGAAATACAGTTTCGTTATTGCCTGCCAACGATAATATCAATACACCAGGGTTTGCAAAACTGGTACACTGATCCTACAGGGTATAATTTTCAAAAACTAGGAAAACCCTGATGGATCAGGGTTTGAACAAGGGGTCACACTGATAATAAGGTTTTTGGACTTGTGCAACACTGATCACAAGGGTTGCTGAAAACCAAAAATTAGCCCTGGTTGGGTCGCGTCGTGAACAGTGGCGAGAGTCGTGGTCGAGGCGAATGTCGTGAACGGGTAACGTTCATGGATGGGTGCCGATGGCGGGAACGGCCATGTACGCGGTAAGCAGGGACGCGAAGTAAGGAAAAGGAATTTTCCTTACAAGTTGTAAGGTCTTCAATCCGGAATTGTAATCTGGAAGTTTATGATAGTGTCCAGAAGCTTGCTATGCAGCTGGAACGGAAAATCCAAGTTAAAAAACACGATACACTTTGTTTTGCCATAAATTTACCAAAAAATCCATCCAGCCTCTACAACCAGCAGAATACGCAAAAGGAATTCAACCTGCAGTGCTCCCGCTATCCTTTTCGATACGAAGCGTTCATGGGAGCACAGACAAAAAGGAGGAGATCAACCGGTGCAGCTAACAGCACACACTGCAAACAATAAGGGGTTGAGTCTCTTAATCTACAGGGGGACAGGCACCACTGAGTCTGTTCTCAAGGGACCATGTTGAGGCGGCATGACACGCTGCAGTTGGCTCTGAAGGCACCTGAAAATGCACTCCAGGCCGAGACAGGGCCCTTGTGCTTCATTGTGGGTGTAGTGACTCATGAGATGACATGGCACAGTGAAGGCGGCTACACATGGCAGTCTAGAGCGGGACAGGGACATTTGTCTTTGTGTGGAAGGCGCTGCAATGAGGTGGCATGGCATGGCCTCTCTGGTTGGTGCGTTGCAGAAGGCTTCAGAGGGCAGTCTACGGCGAAATGGGGACTTTTGACTTCATGCGGAAGACGCTGCAGTGAGAGGGTACACTGCAGGCGAAGAAGAGCGTTGTACCCGCTGCTGTCACCGGCACCTTGTACCTGAGACGGTTGAGATCGGTTGAGAGGGTTGGAAGGATTGAGAGGGTTGAGGCAGGGATATGAGGGAAGGCAATGGCATGAGGATACATGCAGGGGGGGCGTCGGGTGACATTTAAAAGTCGAGTTCCGCCCAGGCTGTGTGCTTCCCTGATGGCATGCAAGGGAATCCTAACAGTTAAGGTTGGTGGAGGCTGGTGAGGGCTGGTGAAGGGTGGCGAAGGGTGGTGAATTTTGGTGGAGGATGGTGAAGGGTGGTGATGGGGGTTGAAGGTGGTGTTGTTGGGTTGTGTAAGAGAGATTGAAATGCTGTGTGCAGCAGGCAGCAGCGCACTTGTAGCGGTAGGAGGTGCGAATTGGGGTGAGCCTCTTTCCCGTGGCGAAGGTGCAGTTGGTGTAGGCTGCTAGGTCCTTGAGACGCCACACGTCATGCGCTGCCATGCGCCACCGGAACACTGGGCGATGGGGGGGGAGAATGAGGAGGGGAGGAGGAAGAGGCGCAAGCAGGGGAGAGTGAAGAGGAAAGTAGAGGCGACCAGGAGAGTCGAGGGAAGCGGGAAGGATGAGGAGGAGAGGAGGGGAGGATGAGTGGGGAGGAGGGGAGGATGAGAGGGGAGGAGGGGAGGATGAAGGGGGGGTTGTAGGGGACGGATGAAGAGGCTCACACGAGTTCAGCAACACATGGGGTGCCATCAGCCTTGGCCTTACCAAGCACGTCCCCGGGTTTCACACGGGGAGGCTTCCAGGACTCAACGCCGTACGACCACGGGCTGAACCACCCCCTGCCCACCGTCACTGTCTTGGCCTGTGCCCATGGCGATGGGGGGACGGAACGGGGGGGTTTGAGGGAGAGACTCTAGTAACGGGGAAAGGAGGTGCAAGAAGATTGGGGGGAGGAAACCAACGGATGCAAGCAGGCAGACAGACAAGCCGAAGGTAGGAAGGAAGGGGAAAAAGTTGTGGCGGAAGGCGCATGCCATGGTTGGCAGGTGGCAGTGGTGGAAGCAGGTGCTTCCTGAGTGGTGGAAGTGGTGGTGGCAGTGGGGGTACCTGAGTGTCGGCTACACCTGCAGCCACAGAGGGTCAGAGAAGAGAAGAGGGAGGCACCGGGAGAGCATATGGAGAGAAGTGTTAGGAGAGAAACAGCAAGGTGGAAGGCGAGGGGAACATGAGTGGAAGAAAAGATGGGGGAAGGGAGTAAAAGAGGGAGCACGCGGCATGGGAGGGAGGTCACGGACGGCACGGGGGTTGAGAAGACGAGGGCCCGTGTGGGGCGAAGGGATCATGGCGAGAGGACGCGAGCACGGGCAGCGGACCACCTGTCAACGGGACAGCTCACTTGCTGTCGCGAGACTATTCTTGAGAGGTCTCAAAAATCGTACATCACGAGACTTTACTTACACAGCAGCGCGAGGAGCAGCAGCGCGCCGAGCAGATTGAGCCTCGCCATCTCGGCCCTCGAATCGCGCGGGACGCGACTTCACTGTAACGGGTGGCGCCGCGAATCAGAAGTACCGTAAATCACGGAAACTGTCGGAGGCAACTCTGAGGGGGAACACCGGGCTAGGAGGTCTGGATGGATTCGACTCGAGTCTGCTTCTGCGATTGCGATCGCGATTGCGTGAGTTGATGTGGCTTCACTGGAAGTGTGTGGAACTGAGTGCGCTATGGCAGCGACGCGCAGCAGAGCGACTAAATAGCTGCGTGGCGCACGGAAGGGCGCACTAGCTGCGCCCGATAACTCGTAAACGGAATTGGCGGCGACGAACGGAGGACGGTGACGACGCCGACGGTCTGACAGTCGAAAGCACGGCGCGTCTGGCGCGCCTTGTCGGCGCCGGCCATGGCGCAACTGACTCTCCCTGACGCAACACTGCTGATAGCGATCTAAGACGGGCCGCGCACAAAGACGCGCGGCGGAAAGCCGCATGCTGTGGGATTCTTGCCGTCCATCAGCGTACTGCAAGTTGCGCGGTGCGGAGCATGTGCGAGTTCTCGCCGCTTGGAAGTCGGTTTGGTTGGAGGGTCATAAGGCAAGCTCGAATGGAGCTGAGCTAGAAGCCGCCATGGAAGGCGCCACGTGGCAGGCTGGCCCCGCCGCTCACTCTTACCCATCATGCGCACTGGCCTGCCGCCGTCAAGCAGCATCACGACTACCGAAAGCCAATCAGCGTACGGTAAGTCGTGCAGCCCATGTGCGCGGCAGCATGTGCTGTAGTAGCATGGCTGCAAGTCGACATTCCCTAGGCCGCCGACCGGCGAGTCGCGACGAATCGTGCACTGCAATGTAACTATTAGGCGGCGGGAAAGTTTTGTGGCGACATAACTCACCAGTAAGGATGCAAACATGAAGTTCGATATTTGATCGCACTGAACCACGCCAAAACACTCAGTCAAGAGCCAAACCAGATTGAACCCCTACTGAATTCCCACCCGTCAACAATATCCGAACCTTCCTGAGGTGATCCTGAGGACGATCAACTTTTCGATCGCAACACCACTTAAAGCGACGGGCAACTTTTGGCAGTGTTGGGTTCAGAAGTTTTTTTTTTTGAACCAGGCTTGCCAGCGCGAAAGTGCTGGCTGGCGAAAACCAGGATTTCGTGCGGACACTTTCCATCCGCAGTAACAGTTCGCCAGGGTTCTGGGTTTTGGGTGGCAAATGTGCACCGTCGCTTTAACAAACGCATTCCGGAATGCACACCGGCCTTAACCATGCACTCTACAGTTGAGGCATATTTACCTTCCCTATCTCTGCCCCCCTTGCTTCCTTTCACGTGAGCTTGTCTCAGTCAGTCATCAGTAAAACACTCTGGTTTCTGTTCTGTGCATTTCGTTAATTACCTTACCGCCGCACATCCACCTCTCAGCTCCCTGCTGACCCCCCTCCTCCCTTCCACCACCACCAGCGCAGGCAGCAGACAGGTCAGTCAGTAGCAGCTCTTTCACCCGCCTCTCACTCTCACCTCGTCTTCCCTCTCCCTCTGCTCCAGAGTAGTACCCAGCCCGACAGCATTCGCCAAGTGCAGGCAAATTCCAGGAAAAGACTCGCCCCTCCTAAGCTACCCCCATCCCTCTCGGTCCCCCTCACCCCTTCCAGCTATCCCCCTGTGACGTTCCACCAAAGCCTTTGCACCCACGCGGCTCTCCTGCCCTCAACAGCAGCCGGGCTGGGGGCACCCCGCAGGCAGGGGCAGGCGCAGGTTGCCGGAGGTGCGGAAGGTGCGAGGAACCATCCTGTCGACGTAGATTAGCCCTGTCAGGTGGTCACACTCGTGCTGGTGGTGGCGTGGCGCAGCCGTAGCGGGTACAGGGGGGTGGGGGGCACGTGAAAATCTGTGCATGTGAGGGAGTAGGTCAATGAAGACAGAAGCATGTGACTTTCATGATGGGGAAGAGGAAGCGATAGGGGAAAAGAGAAAAGGAAGCTGCAGAGAGAGAGGTTATGAAGTGAGAGCACGAGAGCTGCTCCGAAACAAGGTCCTCCACACAGTGCCTTCCTGAAACGGTCAGCATCAGCCTATCCGCCTCCACCAGAGCACCAGGCGCGGCAGTGGTCTCACCTGCAGGATCCGGGCCTGCCAGCCCGTGGCGTGCACCGTGATGGGCTTGCCGTCCCTCGCCAGCCCTGACACCTCCACCTCTCTGTACCGCTCCACCATGGCCCGGTACCCATTCACACTGCCGCGCATACAGATGGGCAATGGCACGCGCAGAGGACGGAAGGCGTGGGGAGACGGGTGAGACTCGACTTGGTGACGGCAGTAATGCAGGGTAGGAGGGAGGGAGGGAGAGAAGGAAGGAGAGAGGGAGGGAGGGAGGGAGGGAGGGAGGGAGGGAGGGAGGGAGGGAGGGAGGGAGGGAGGGAGGGAGGGAGGGAAGGAGAGAGGGAGGGAGGGAGGGAGGGAGGGAGGGAGGGAGGGAGGGAGGGGGGAGGGAGGGGGGAGGGGAGGGAGGGAGGGGGAAGGGAGGGGGGAGGGGAGGGAGGGAGGGGGGAAGGAGGGAGGGGGGAGGGAGGGAGGGAGGGAGGGAGGGAGGGAGGGAGGGAGGGAGGGAGGGAGGGAGGGAGGGAGGGAGGGAGGGAGGGAGGAGGGAAGGAGGGAGGGAGGGAGGGAGGGAGGGAGGGAGGGAGGGAGGGAGGGAGGGAGGGAGGGAGGGAGGGAGGGGGGAGGGAGGGGGGAGGGGAGGGAGGGAGGGGGAAGGGAGGGGGGAGGGGAGGGAGGGAGGGGGGAAGGAGGGAGGGGGGAGGGAGGGAGGGAGGGAGGGGGGAGGGCACCTGAGGCATCCTTCAAAGAAGCGGGCCTTGGTGTCGCCCACTGGTTTGAGCACGGGGTTGATGATCACCTGCCATTGGCGCGCAGTGCAGTGCAGCAAGAGGTGGAGAGATGGGAGAAGAAGAGAGGAAGAATGCACAGTGGTGTCGAGAGGCGGCAATGCAGCCCGACACAGGCAGGCAGGCAGGCAGACGTGATCAGGGCGAAGAGATGCAGTAGCCAGCACGGAGTGGGCCATTCGTTTCATTCCATCTTGCTGTTCAATGCCCACTCGTTGATTCCCTTAGAAGTGAAGCACCAGATATTTCATGCCAAGGCAGTCGGTCGTTCGTCAATTCAATCCCCCATTCTGTTTATTCACTGACTCAACACCCACTGACTCGCTCATGCAGTCAACCATGCAAGAACCAACTGCACGCGTACCAGCAGGTTGAAGGGTTGGCGCTCCTGCAGCTTCACTTCCTCGGGGTCGCATGCCTTCATGAGCTCCACCGTGTCCTCCAACACGATGATCTGCGCGCGCATAAGCGCACACAGTCACAGGCCGAGAGTTGCGGTGAGCGCACAGGGGGACAGGCGGGGCGCACAGGGAGGCGGTAAAAGGTGCCATGGGCGGTGGGGAGAAAACAAGCCCTTCATTTTTCCCGGGGCCCTTCCTGCCATACCTGTCCGTTTCATTTCCGTGATTCTTCTTTATGAATGGTGAAATCCACCAGCATAACTGACGACCGTACCTGCAGTACCCGTACCTGCAGTGCCCGTACCTGCAGTGCCCGTACCTGCAGTGCCCGTACCTGCAGTACCCGTACCTGCAGTACCCGTACCTGCAGCGCCCGTACCTGCAGTGGGTGGCCGATTTGGTTGGCTGCGAGGCCGACACCTGGCGCGGTGCGCATGACTGCCACCATGTCATTGATGATCTTCTCTATCTCCGGACTCCCAATGTCCTGATGCCACGTGGCACGGAGGTGGATTGGTGAACCGGGTGGAGAGGAGGAGAACACGGGAAGAAGCAGAAAGGGCACGTGCCATTCATGTTAAGCACGTGCGTTCCCAGGGTTGCTGTTTATATTGGGAAACTGATACCGCATTGTAACACAGCCACGACGACGACGCGAATCTACCAGGCGCACAGGCAGTGGGCGCTTGAGGCTCATGCGATCACGGGCACTCACCCCCCACGCACTCGCCCGAATTACTCAACCACAAGGGCACTCCGCACCACTCACCGCCAGAACTCACGGAGAGGTGAACTCACGGAGAGGAGAACTCACGGAGAGGAGAACTCACGGAGAGGAGAACTCACGGAGAGGTGAACTCACGGAGAGGTGAACTCACGGAGAGGTGAACTCACGGAGAGGTGAACTCACGAAGAGGTGAACTCACGGAGAGGTGAACTCACGGAGAGGTGAACTCACGGAGAGGTGAACTCACGGAGAGGTGAACTCACGGAGAGGTGAACTCACGGAGAGGTGAACTCACGGAGAGGAGAACTCACGGAGAGGAGAACTCACGGAGAGGAGAACTCACGGAGAGGTGAACTCACGGAGAGGTGAACTCACGGAGAGGTGAACTCACGGAGAGGTGAACTCACGGAGAGGTGAACTCACGGAGAGGTGAACTCACGGAGAGGTGAACTCACGGAGAGGTGAACTCACGGAGAGGTGAACTCACGGAGAGGTGAACTCACGGAGAGGTGAACTCACGGAGAGGTGAACTCACGGAGAGGTGAACTCACGGAGAGGTGAACTCACGGAGAGGTGAACTCACGGAGAGGTGAACTCACGGAGAGG